AATTTTGGAAGTTGCAGCAGGTGGACCCAGGGCCTTGGGCACACTGGAATCAGTGAGGACTGAAATATTATGTTTTGCTATATATAAAATTAAACATTTGGTGAACAAAAACTTAACTTCAATGCAAAAATGTAATAACTACCCATAAATACTTAATGAAATATATGATAGAGCAAAATTTAAGAAGACAAAAAAGTAGAAATGTCTTTTTCTCTTTGCTGTGTTTTCAATGTTAGAAGTACTTTTATCCTGATTGTTACCATTATTGGGCACTACTTATGTCTATGTAATCTTTATTATGAAGTAACCTTTATTTTTTCTTATCTCTTTGATTCCGGGTATCCCAAAACTTCCTCTCCTTACAGATCCATATACTAAGCAAACCACTGGGAGCTTTGGACTACTTACTCAAACCTTTATTGAGTGGCTACTCTGCCAGACCCTAAGTGCTAGTCTGGCCTTTGAAAGCTGCAGGTTAACCCCACTGACCCCTTTTCCCCTCTCTCTTTCTTGATATCAATATACCCAGTGATTGCAAAAGCTTAACTCTAGGCTGCTGCCACTCAGTTCTCTTAAACAGTTTTTTCACCCCTCATGCAAGAAGAAAGCCTTGCTAATTTCAGACAAATCTTCAAACTGTTTTTTTCTATTTTTATTTAAATGAATTACCATCCAAACAGCCACCTAGTCCAGAAAGCTGAGAGTCATAATAGTCTCCTTTGTCTTCATTACAACCATCCTCCCACAGCTAGTCAATCACCAGGCTCTGCCAATCTTCCCTTAGTTGTCACTGAAATCCGCTCTCTCCTCTGTTGCCACCGTGGGGACTTTTTTCCAGCTTTCTACACCTCTCATCGCCTACCTGGCTTTGCTACGATGACCTCTTCCTAATTATTCCCTTTGCTTCCACTTCCATTCCTCCTTTAAGCTATTCATTTCCTTTTTCATATAAAGCTTAGATTATTTTTACCCAAATTAAAATTTAATAATTAATAAGCCATGGAGCTATGATTCAAACCAGTTGGCAAAAGAAAAAAAAAGAAAAGAAAATTTTTTTAGCTGTGCATGGTAGCACACGACTGTAAATCTCAGTGGCTCAGGAGGCTGAGGCAGGAGGATCGTGAGTTCAAAGCCATTCTCAGTAACTTAGCAAGGCGCTAAGCAACTTGTGAGACCCTGTCTCTAAATAAAATACAAAATAGGGCTGGGGATGTGGCTCAGTGGTTGAGTGTCCCTAAGTTCAATACTTAGGTATGAAAAGAAATTTTTTTCTTAATCACAAGTAGGTACAGAATTTTATTAAATATTTTCCATTGTCTATGTGGTATGTCAATGTGATAACTTACATAATTGATTTTTCAAAGTTAAACAATTCTTGAATGCCATATGATATTTATCTTATGATATTTGTTCATGGTCACTTTGGATCACTTACTAATATTTAACATTCTTGAATCTCTGCCCATAAGCAAGATTGATCATTCTGTCCTTATCTGACTTTGTAAAATACTATGAAATATTTTTATATTTATAATATTAAAGGTTATTATATTTTCCTTTGATATGTTTTTTGGTTTTTGTTTTGGTACCAGGAATTGAACCCAGGGGTACTTAGACAATAAGCCGCATTCCCAGCCCTTTTTATTTTTTATCTTGCTCAGTTGCTGAGGCTAGCCTCTAACTTGAAGTCCTCCTGCCTTAGACTTCTGAGTTGCTGAGCCTGACTCTTTTGATTCTGGGGAAAAAAATTATTGTCTCTAAAATTGTACTCCTTTATGACATATTTTCCACTATTGATTTAATCCCCCCCCCTTTTTAAAAGTTTGATATGATCCTTTTTTTCCCTTTATTTTTATTTATTTCTTTTTATGTGGTGCTGAGAATGGAACCCAGGTCCTCATACAAGTGAGGCAAGTGCTCTACCACTGAGCCACAACCCCAGCCCTAATTTCCCCCTTTCCTTGTTATAGGTTTACTGAGTGTCAATTTCTTCTCCAGTTAACTTTCACAATTTATGCTTTCTAAAAATTGTACAGTGTATCCAAGATTTCAAATATATGGACCTAATGTTGTTCATGTGATTCTCTTAAGATTTTAAAATATTTACTTTTTCTGTTTCACTGTCCCTTTTCATATCTGAAACTATTTATTTCTTCCTCCTTAAAAAAAAAAAAGCAATTATGCTGGGAGTTTGTCTATTTAATTACTTTTTGGAAACAACCAGCTTTTCATTTTGTTGATCAGATGACCAACTATTCCTACACCACAGAAGCAAATTTTCAGAAACTCATGTCTGGTTTTAAAACTAGAGGGTGGCTCCTTGCACACGCAACCTCTTAGCAAATTCACTCCTCGGTTTCTCCCCACACTTATCCTGTGCTGTGCCCTGCAACAGCTTTAGATTCTTCCTAAGCCCAAACTTCAACCTGTTTGCTCCGTGTTTTTTCTTACAGACTTCTCCTTTCTTCCGTTACCCACTTGGCTGAAGTGGGTAAATTCTAGGTCCAGTTTTCCTCTTTGTGGGGGTTTCCCACCCCATCCCTTCTCTCTCACTGTCTTGGGGGTCATGATGTCCTTCTCTGTGCTGGTTTTGTGTCTCCCACACATTCCTACTTCTTCATCCCTCATTACGTTTTGGTCACACGTCTCCCTCCCCTCCTGGATGGTGAGGGTTGGTGCCGTCGATTTTTTCACATCTGTATTCCTGGAACTAATTTTTTTCTTTTTTCTTTTTGCGGGAGGGATTGAACTCAGGAGGTGTTTAACCACGGAGCCACATTCCCAGCCCTTTATTTATTTATTTATTTTTTAGAGACAGGGTCTTGCTAAGTTCCTGAGCCTGGCTTTGAACTTGTGATCCTCCTGCCTCAGCTTCCAGAGTCACTGAGATGACAGGTGTGCACTGTGCCCAGCAGTACTCTTAGAACTTTTAATTTATTTCTCCTATCCCCATATCTTTCCTTTTTCAAAAAGGAAAAGCAAAAAATAGAGAAACAATTACACTATGTCCCTCTCTATTTTAAGAAAGGCTGGCATACAACCTCTCCAACTAAGATGCTGACTGAATTAACTTCTGTCTCCCTGCCTTGTCAATATGCACTTAGCATTGAATCACATGTTTGCTAACATCTGTAAATTGTCAAATTTTTAAGCCAATATTCTTTTCTTATAAGGTCTAAAGTACTTTATATCTGGATATATCAATGCATTTTAAATACCAGACCAGATTTTAATCAGGTTATGTAACTTCTCATAGAGTTTATTTATAAACTTATGCACTATTTAATCTTGACCCATACAAATACATGTTAGAATCTTTATCTTTGGGAACAATATTGTAAGTAGGTAATTTAAAGAAATCTCCATTTTAGCTCATAGTTGTTTTTATCTGGAAGCTTAAATTTACAACAATCGACCTACATATGAACATATAAAACAAGATGCTATTTATAAGCTGAATGGTTGTGAAACCCAGAGGGAGTTAGGAAAGCTGAGTTTGAGTCTCAGTTCTACTTACACCTCAAGCAGGACTTTAATCCTAGTAAATCTCATTAGTAAAATAGTGATAATGATTTCTGACCCTCTAGGTTTTGTAAGGACTAAATCATACATTGTGGAAAAATGCCTTGCATGGTGCAGGAACTTAGCAGATACTATTTTTAAAATTTTATTTTATTTTATATTTTTAAGACAGGGTCCTGCTAAGTTGGCCAGACTGGCCTTGAACTCGTGATCCTCCTGCCTCGGCCGAGGAGACAGAATTACAGGTGTGCACCACCACACTCAGCAATACTCACTAAATTTAAATTTAACTTGCATGATGGGAAATCACAAATATGCTTGTGATTTCCCATCATGCAAAATAATAAACTCAATTTAGAAGACTATTACTGAGGCATTTGATGTCAGCCTAAAGAAAATCCCATTTTTCTTGGCTCTGCTTGCTTTCTTGGCCAGGAACAATATCCTCTGCCAATTCACTTTATTTTCATTGTTTTAGTTAAAGAACAGTTATTCAGACACTGAGATTTGGGAGTCTTGAGTTCCATTTTGAGCAAGCACGTCCCAATGACCTTGGACAATCAATGGAACATTTTTTTTTGGACATTTTTTGCATATCCCCAAAGGCAAAAACCTTAGACTTATTCCTTTCTGTCTGCTCAGCACTAACTTGGCAATGCTTGTTATCCCAAATCAGGACATCAATGTTTTAATTCACAAGAAAAATCCAATTCATGTAACATCTTTATCCCTCTATGAACTGTGGGGGAAAGGGAAGTAGCTGAGCCTAAGTGTCCAGCCCGAAGCATTAGCCAATAGCCCTTTAAAGTAATCATTTCTCTGCAAAGCCAGCAGCTCTCTGTCCACCTCATTTTGCTGTTGGAAAGAAAACCTTTTCTGTACTCTCTGCCTCCACCTGAACTGCATGGTAATTGAAAGTCATTTTGCTTTTCAAATCATCCTCAGTGGCTACGTGGACATTACCCATCCACTCCACTATCTAAATGAGGGGTTGAGGAAAAGTCCCCAAGGGAAGTGTGAATAGCCAGCAGCTGCATTTGGCTAGGCCATCTGAACTACAGCCTGCACCTTGGCCCAACCCCAGGATTGATAAAGCCCTTGCTAAGCTTTAGATTTCCCCAGATTTGTGTGCAAAATGCGAAGACTGGTTTCATCTGTCCTGCAGGACTCTCTCAATGTGTTTTGGGCTTGTTAACCTGTTTTGTGCAAGAAGAGAACGTGGGTGGGGAGACCTGGGCCTGCTCTGAGGTCTGCAGGCTTCCAGCCTGCCTTGAGGTGTCCAGCAAATGCTGACCTATATTCCAGTGACACACACCAGATCTGAGTAGGACATAACTGCCCAGGGCGCCGCCCACCCCCTCCTTCTCCTCCTCCTTTCTCAGCCAAGAGGGCAGGCAGATCTGTACACCAAGTTCTCTCTTGTCAGCCTGATGGCATGACAGGGTGCAGGGGGGGGGGTTATTAGGAGGTGAACCTACCACGGCTTGAACCTCTGGGCCACACCACACTGTCTTCTCTCCAGGAAGAGTAGCAGTAACCAAAAGGGTGCAGAGAAGTCGATTTCTTGGGTTTGATCACATTTTTTTTTTTCCCTCTCAACCATTGTTTTTGGAAGGCTTTGCTGTGTTTCTTTAGAGTAGGCAGATGGCAGGATCCTGGAGGTGTAAAACAGCTACAAAAAACAAGATGATTCAAACAGAAGGAATATGTATAAACCCTGCTGGATCATCTCAATATTAATCAAGAGAGTTGGCGCTCCCCCTCCCTTTGCAGGATGTTTAAAGTTTTCATGCTATTTTTCTTTTTTTTCTTTTGAGGACACCATGTATAAATGGGCCATTTTTTGAGGGCTTGGCTGGGAAAACTGGTGTCATTTTGGCACTCTGCTTACTTTGAGGAGAAGCCCAATTGGAGACATCAGGGCAAGACCACTCCCTCTGAGTAGACAAGGGAAATGGAGACCCCATAGAGGAAAGGCAAAATTGAGAGCCAGGGATGGTGCCATCCAAAGTACGGGAACAGTGCCTAAGAGAGAGAATTTCCAGTTGAGTTGTGGTTTACCGCAGTGTCCTCGTGATCAGTGGAGTGGTCAGATGTCAGGGGTGACTGAAAAAAAAGTTCATTTTCCCACAGTGGCGAGAGAGAAAGAAAGAGACAGAGAGAGAGAAGGAAAAAAAAAAAAAACAGATTTGCCCATAAGAAACAAAGAGTTCTCCATCTGAGAGTTTGGCTGGACCAGGCTTGGAAATGGACCATCTTCCATGTGACTGTTGCGAAGTAAGCTGGAGAAGCGGCAGCAGTTGTTCCTTTTTGATTAGCGTATCATTTTAAGCTCTGCCCTCTTTTTTTCCCTAATGATCACAAATAATCTTTCGTGGAGCAATGGCTCAGCCCTACAGTTTGATTGATTGATTGCAGTCAATCCCGAAGATCTGGAAGCAAGGGTCATGTGTTTGTGATTATGGAATTTGTGGGGAAATGTGAGTGAGACAGAAGGATCTCAGAGACCCTGTGCTTTGAGCTTAGGATCATAGCACTCATCAAGTGTGCTAGTCCTTCCTGATTCAACGTACTGTGCCACTTGGCCTTATGGTGGCGGCTGTGGAACCATCTTTTCAGGCTGCGTAAGTGCAGGAGAACTCCGGGATCTAAAGAGTTAAAGTGTCACTGCAATGGGGAAAATGGCTTCACCACAACTTCATCTTGAGCTTGCCTAGTTACGTATTACTCTGAGTGTGTATATGCATGTGTGTGTGTGTGTGTGTGTGTGTGTGTGTGTTTCTTTTTAAATACCATTCTCTTTCATTAACTCATATCCTAAAATGTCTTTATAGTTTCGCTAGCAGGTCTCCCTGGTTCACCACTGGAAATGGAACAGGGTGCTTTATTCCATCACATATGCCAGAAAAGCACTGCAGATCTCCAAGGCGAAAAAGGAACATCAAATCACTGATTGGAAGACCAAAAGCTTCACACACACACCATGCAACCCCAAATCCCACTGTCCTGCTGCCTTTCCTTTCTGTTCATCTTTTCATTCCTAATGCATGAATCCCAATCTGATCTCCCCATCTCACTGAGCCTGGAGCACCTTGAGCAATTCAGTGGCTGTGAAATCTCCTGCCGACTTTGTTTTGGCTGGAATTGCAGCCCGCATGTGGGAGAATTAAGCAAAAAACCGTCACAGAGCTAATAGTATGCCTCTGTGCGGTGGTAGGCAGATCAGTAGAAAAAGGTGACATCATGGATAATTCCAGCACTTCAGGTCTGCAGTGCAAAGCGGCTTCCTTGCTACACATCAGAGTCAGAACCTGGATTTGAGACAAAAACAACTCTCCCTTCTCATAAATATCTGCTCTGGGGCTCAAAAATATTCTAAGTGCAATGGCTCAGAAATGGTCCCTTTCCCTTGGAGACCCATCTGATTTTCCAAATCCAATCACAAACTTTTTAATAGCATGTCATGAACCTCTCAGCTCATTATTTCTCTTCAAAGCCTTCCAGTTTGCCAGCTTAGAGCCTGTGAAGTGTTGTTTGATGATGTGCTGCACCATAAATAAGCACATAGGACATGCTAAAATCCATCCTTCACTAGTTCTGGCTTTCCCACCAGGAATACTGCCATACAATCAGGAATGTGTGATTTGCAGCAATTGCTCTGAATTGAGAGTTTTTTTTTTGTTTAAACACATCCAGTGTGTAATGTAGGTAATATAACAGATTTATTATGTTTATATAAATCCCATTTTTTTTCTTTCTGTTCCTTCGCCTTTCTTCTCCGCCCTCTCATGGCTAGGATATTGGAAGCAAGGAAAGCAGGAATATAGACAGATCCTTTAAAATAGCAATCTCAGCTTTAACCATTCCTGACTGCAGGAAATCAATGCATTGGATAATTTACCATGTCTCTAATACCCAGCGTTCCCTCTGATGTCTTTAAGTTGTGAGCAGACAACCATTTTACATGTGTAACCAGCCATGAAGGTTAGCCTACAGAATGGAGGTTACTGTTGTAATCAAATAAAGCTCACACAAGCTAATCTGACATGTGTTTTGACTATTTTTTTCTTTTACTATATGGTAATTAGGCAAACACAGTAAGCGGCTGACCCAAGTTACTGTCATTTGTATTGTTTTGTTGCAAATCATGGTGAAATGAAGATAGTTTTTGGCCAGAGACATAAGAACACTTAAAACCTAATCTGTATCAGCCTCCTTATTCTGTAAGTTGCTGAGGAAAATTTATGCAGAGAGAACAATGCCTTACAAAGGAACATTTTATTAGTGCCTGGGGTTGTCAATACAAAGCTCGTTGCATGGCCCAAGTAAGCAACACTATGGAGACTGCATTCTGTCCCAGGACTAGGACCCAAATAGTCCAGATCGCACTATTCAATGTTAAGTCTGTGGTCTAGCAGCAAAGGTGTCACCAAAGAGTTTATTAATAACATACAATCTTGCAATTCCTTATCCCTACCATAAATCTTGCTGCAAACACAAATTACTAAATCCTCAATGATTTCTATGAGCTTTCAAATCGGAAAAGTCAATCTATTTGGTTTTCCTCACCTAGATTGGCAGCTCTCAAAGTGTGGTCCCTGGGTCAGGGTCATTAACAACCACTGGAAACTTGTAAGGAATACGGGTTCTGAGGCCACAGATAGACCTACTAAATTGAGAACTGAGGGTGCAGCCTAAGAGTTCATGCGTTAAAAGTCCATCCAGGTGATTTTGATGCCATTTGAATTTGAGAATCACTACTCTAGGTCAGAAGACCTCAAGCTTTCACATGCATTCAAATCCCTTAGGGAGCTTTAAACCTTCTCTCAGGTTGTACTCCAGATCAGTCAAATCTAAATCTCTAGGGGTGAGATGCTGGCATTAGTAGTTTTTAAAAATCCTTAGGGGATTCCAATGTGCAGCCAAGTCTGAAAGCAAGTGTTTCTGAAACTTTAGTGAGAATTGGTAAAAACAGCCATGGGGTCTACCGTACTTCAACTGTGGGCTCCAGGTAGTAAGGACCAAAGTTTGAGAACCACACACCACTGCCAAAGTATGGCCCAAAGACCAGAAGGAAGATCAGCATCCAACCTTGTGGTGGGAGCTTTCTAGAAATGCAAACTCCCTGACCCCACACCAGAACTATGACTGGGAATCTCTGCACATGAAATACAGATAAAGAACTCCTAGTGGTTCTCATGTACACTGATGCCTGAGATCCGTTAGACCAATTTCTTTGTTTTTCAGCTATCAGAGCTATCCTTGTATAACAATAAACAAGAGGTGGTTACCGAAGTACAGGCTTATTTATCTTTTCCTACAATGGCCTATGTGTTTTATTCAGAGTCTCTGATTTTGACCAGTCTTGCTAATTAAGAATGGTGCATAAAGGCAGAAAGAAAGAAGAGTCTTGAACTTCTTATGAACATCAAAGGCAATAATATTTCACAGTTTCCCAGTATCTCTAAATAGACTGTTTGATAGTTTTCCATGTCCCCAAAGCCACACCAAGGACAGACTCAAATTACATTATTTCACTAATATATTAAGTATCCTCTGATACTTATTATTAGACATGGTACAAGGCCCTAAAATTTGGCATAGGGGCAAGGATGATATTAAGCACATAAATACACAAATAAACATGTAATTATAGCCATGATATTGTGATAAAGCACCCTGAAGGAAATACACAGGCCAAAGAGAAGTTGCAATCCTGGACCAGCCTTACTCTTGAGTGACATGTGAGCTGGGGCCTGAAGAGTAAGGAATTAATCAAGCAAAGCAGTGGGAAAGTCAAGTTAGAGGAAAGGTATGTGCAAAGGTCCTAAGGTGGGGAGCTACTTGGTGAGTTCAAGTTGCTCAAATCAGATGAGTATGGCCAGAGTGAGGGAGAAGGCAGAGAGGAAGATGAAGCTGGAGAAGGCAGAGATTCGTTCATGCAGGACCCTGGTAAGGAGAAGCAATTTTATCCTGCAGAAAGAAACACACACAAATAATAAAGCATAATTATGATACATAAAGTCCATGGCTTCATCTGTGAAATCAGAGACTGCTTCTCTGAGGAAGTAACAGTCGGTTTATGAGAAGAAGATAACTAGGTAAAGAAGGGAAGTGGGTTCTGAGCAGAGGGAACAACATATATGAAGCCCTTAAGGTAGGAAGAACACGTTTAGTTTGTCAAATTGGCTGACAGAGCTGGACAAGCCTTACATTGAGTCCCTGATCTGCCATTTATTGTGTGCCCTTAGGCCAATGACCCTCTCTGAGTCCTAATCTCCTCATCTGTAAAATGGGGATGATAACAATAGTACCTGCTTCATAGGATTGTAGTGAGGATTAAGTGAAGTAGGTTAAAATCTGGCACATAATAGATGCTTGCAGTGGGCAGGATAGTGCCTGTGTCAGAGATGTCCGTATCCTAATCCCCAGAACTTGAGAACATGTTATGCCTCAGGGCAAGGAGATATTAAGGTTGCATGTGGAATTAAGGTTGCTAGTCAGTTGACCTTAAAACAAGATTATCCTGATGACAAGGGAGGGCCCAAGATAATCACAAGGATCTTTCAGATGTTGAAGAGGGGAGGCAGAAGAGTCAGTGTGGAATGATGCCGGGGGGAAACTTGACATGCTATGGCGGGCTTTGCAGATGGAAAGGGGCCACCAAGTAAG